CCATATATCCTAAAGGTCCTCTTGCGGCAGTCATAAATACGTTGTTGTAGTCCGTGGGATACAATTTAGCAAGGCCAAAGTCAGAAATTTTTGGGTTGAAATCCCCATCGAGAAGAACATTGTGAGGCTTAATATCAAAGTGTAGAATTTGAATGTCGCATCCTCGATGAAGATACTCAATCCCTCTAGCTACTCCGAGAGCAATCTTGTACACTTCCTTGCAATCAAGGGAAGTCCCTTGTCCTCATAAAAAAAGGTGTTTATCCAAGGACCCATTGTGCATGAAATCGTAAACAAGAGCTTGTTTTGAGCCCTCAAAGCAAAAACCAATGAGTCCAACCACATTAACATGGTAAATTCTTTAGATGGTAGCCACTTCGCTGATGAAGTCCTGCCCATTCGCTTTCCCCTTCTTCAAAATCTTCACCGCCACCTCACGGCTGCTCCGAAGTCTTTCTTTGAATACGTAACCATACCCTCTCACGCCTAGTTTGTCCTTGAGGCCACCCGTGATTTTCTTGATATCCGAATAAGAGTACCTTATTGGCAAGAAGTTATTGTTAGATTGCAAAAATTCTTCAACGTTTTGATCCATTGCTAAGTGTCTTCTCCTCCATTTGCGTATTAGCAAAATCATCACGCGTGGGACTCCCAAGTTGAACTTCACAACTATGAATGGCACTGTGAATATGGGGAAAGCGCAAGAAAATTGTGTGTGCGTAAAATTGTTTGCATTTAGAAAAATCAAGTCAATTCATAATGTGAAGGTTGTAGTAATGTTACCGGTGCCATAGTACAAGAGCGTCCCCATATACAAGGTGATAGTGAAGAGGAAAGTGACGAATCCTGCAAAAGAGATTAGATATGCGACAAGTGAAACTTGTAGATTACACCTTTTTCTGCTGGTTTTGCCGGGGTATGACCCGGGCAGAAGAGGAAAGTGACAATAATATTTCCTGCAGAAGAGATTAGACATGTGAAAGCTGTATAGATGATGTGATTGTTTCGAGAAAAATTTCACGATAAATAAAAATACTTTCCGGAAAATTGTTTTTTAGGAAAACAATTTTTCCACTGTATACCTTTTTATGCTGCTTCTACCAGGGTTTGAACCATGGACTTGGGCGTCCCCACCCAACCCTCCTAGCTACTGAGCCGGATGCCTCATTGGCGATCTAAAGGACACTTACTTAGACCAGAATCAAGCAATGAGTATATCGGTTCAATCCACTCAGATTTGTTGGAGGAAATTCAAATTAAATAAATAAACAAATGAATGAAAATGTATTTATTGCTATATGTGAAACATACCACAAGAACATTTAACTAACTAGTTGATCTTAATGGGCATTTTCAAATCACATGGGCTTTGAAAAGATGTACAGATGACTATAGCTCAATTTCACGTGTAGATGAAATTTTGCATGTTTTTAACCAGATATGTCCTCACAATTTTTTTTTATTTGAGAAAACTGAACAAACTCAAAAGTCCTTATCTTTCTTGTCTGTGCACTGAATTTGGTGCTTGTCGCTAATGTAGCACCCAAAATAATCTTTGCAATAAATCTTAGAGGCAATTGGATGCCATGAAAGCTCAAATCCATAAACCATCATATCATGATTTTGCGCATAGGAACGAAGATCGTCGCCATTAGCCCACCATGGTATCATTGCCATAAGCTTTATAGTGCATGCAATTTCCACGTTCGAGACATTCGCATCGATCATGGCATATAATCACCTTTATGTAGTAGAAAAATTCAAAAATTTGACCCCATCAAGGCACGACAAAGCGTCAATGTATAACCGGGAAGCAATGGCCTTCATGCAGTTCATGATCAAAACGGTCTTGGATAACTCTAGACTAAAGGACCAGCATCTGTATGGATGGAAACTGTGGTAGTTGAAGTGCATGATGAAGAGTGAAGAGGAAGAGATGAGCAATTGCCCTTTCGCAGCCCGGCATCAGCAATCGTAATTGTGTAGTTCGTATAGTCGATGTACCATACAGAGTAGTTGCCTGAGAACAAATCGAGAACGGTGCGGTTATCTATGCAGGCTAACTCATAATCAGGGTCGCCATAGTCCTTCGGGTTGCCCTTCAGCCAAAACGGGTAGGTTATGTTTGGGAGCTCCCCGCAGGAGGTGGTGCATTGATTATCGACAGCAATGCTAAACAGCCGATGTAGAAGAAGAAGAAGATATAGAAAAGAGAGTCGATCTTTGAGCATCGGTTATGCAATAGCAGAGAGCACGAATTAAGCAAGTGAGTAGAGTGTTTTAGTGTTGAGATGCAAAAGAAGGAAAGATAAAAGGGAGGAAATAAATTGTACTACTCTGTTTCTTTCTTGAAGCAATGAAGAGAGAAGGAAAAATCTCCGACTTTGGACTCAAATGTGTGGAGGTGAGTGATTTGGGGTGTAGCGACCATCAATAATGGAACGTATGAGAGACAGAAAAGTGCGGGAATGGTCGGCTTGTAAGTGAAAAGCCGATCAACTTACGACATAAGAGCAAGGGGCCAATTTATGCACTGCGCTGCGACGAATCTAAACTTCAATCGACCCCGGCCCGGCCCATTGGATAGGGTTTGGGAAGAAAACAAGCAAAATGCTAAATGCATGAATAATATTTATTGAATCTTGGGTACCGAATGATGTGCACACTCGACATTTCTATAACCTACACCAGATTTTAACACCCGATCCACTTGAACTTTAACTTCTGGTCGGAGACTCGTGTGATGCAACTGGCTTGAATATATATATATTTTTTTCTTTTTTCTTTTTTCTTTTTTCTTTTTTTCATCTTCAAGATGTTACCAAAAATCTCATTAGAATAATATATTTTTTCCATGTTTATTGTTTTTTAATTACTAACCCCAACTTTTCTAATTTTGAATTTTTTTTAGATGTAACGTGATTTGTGCCTTTTCATACGTCCCGGTACAGTTCATGTGCGTTGCATATGTAAAGATCACATGTTGTCTTGAAAATGTAACAAATCAAACGTGACGCCACCCCATTTTCTAATTTAGGGTGCGAGGCAGTTTCTTGGTGATGGAGAGTGCTCCAGCTCACATAGGCCTTCGCAATCGTGGAGTCATCCACACAAGTCTTCTCTAGAAATGTCAAAGTCAAAGTCTTCTTGAAGTGACAGGTCTTGCGGTGTTAATTGGATGTGGAAAATTCTTGGTGCCACAGAATTTCCACGTAAAAGTCTTCTTGAAACTTCCTTATGCGCGAGATGTGTTCCCACACGTACAAAACTCCATGTCAGGGCACTAACAACTCTACTTGACAATTGACGAATTCGACTTTAGAAAGTGAGAGGATGACACCACCGTTACTACTTTAAATGACAGTAACGGTGGCGCCTCCACGATAGGTTTCAGCCCTTAAATTGAAATAGATAAATAAATTAAATGAAGAAAAAAGGAAATAAATATTAAAATATCTTTATATTCAATTGCATATTTGTGTTGGTATTTGTCGCTGCCTCGCGACAAGTATTACCTGATGACAGAACTCCTTTTTATGTATGTAGCAGTGGTTCACATTTGAAAAGGTCCCATCCCATGTCTTCGGGTCGGCCTACTTGCTGTTTCTTTTTTCATTTTGGGATAGAAGCATTGAAAATCCAAAAACTTATTACAAAAGTGCAATTGAGTCTTAAAACTTTCAAAAAATGCAATAAAATTCTAAAATTTATCACAAAAGTATAATTGAGTCCCTAAAATTTTCAAAAAGTGCAATAAAGTCCTAAATTTTTTTCATTTGGCAAAACTAGAGACCGAGCCACTTGTAGGGCATTCATCAAGCTAGCTGGAGTGAAAGCTCGCAGGGTGAGCCTCGCCAGCGAGCCATGTGGCGGCCTGCTGGTTCGTATGATGTCCCTGCGACTTCACCGGCGTCCCCACCATGCACGCGCTGCACCGCGTTGCCTCCGATTCGCCGCCGCCACTCATTGCCTTCTTCTTCGTCTTCATCTTCGTTTGCGTCCCCTTCTCTCACGCAAGTGTCGATTGGGACTACGATTCGAGAAACAATCGCACAAGAAAAAGAGAGTGGAGATGGAATCTAAAAAAGAGGAGAGATCTCGATAAGAAAGAGAGAGAACGATAAACGAGAATCAGAATCAAAATGAGAATGGGATGAACTTTTCTTCTTCTTTCTTTTTTTTTTGCTTATTTTTTAAATTAACGGCTCAATATGTTCGAGTCTAGAAGCGACCTCCCCCGCTAAAGCAAAGAGACAACTAGAAGTGACGCGTACATAGCGAGGCGATTCTTTGCATCCGAGGACGCGGCCTTTCTATTATTTACAAAATGAACTTAAGTGCTCAAATCTAATTTTAATAAGTATAACGTATAATTCAGGCTCGGATAAAATTTCCTCCTGACGTAATTGTTTAGGCAAGGAATCTGAAAAGAAAAAACTTTCATCATTCTCAAGTGCACATGTACTACTAAATAGCCTTAGCAACCTAGTAAAAAGAAATTGAAATATAATTAACCTCATCTATTACTGCTATTAAGGAGAGATTATCTTTTGATGTCTCCCACTACGCTTTAATATACTTTTTAACTAATTTTTTAATGAATGTAGGGGGGGAAAAAAAAAATAAAAATAAAAAAAAAAAAAAAAAAAAAAAAAAAAAAAAAAAAAAAAAAAAAAAAAAAAAAAAAGTCAATAAATGTCGCCACTGTCTATTGGGTGGGTAACAGTCCCGCACTCCCCCTCCTTTAAACCAAAGTTGTCGTTTACCATCTCTCCCAAAAATTTTCACATCTCTCCGTATATTAGTTTTCGACGTCATTCGTAGCGATAATTGGTGTGCCATGAAGTGACGCGTACGTAGCGACCATTGGAGTGACATGAAGCCACGTGTAGCACAAGATGTGTGCCAGTTGGGTTTTGAAGGAAAAACTCCAAGACCAAATCTCACCCCTTGTAACGCTATGCTGGAACTAGGTTTTCTATTGGATTTGAAAGTCCAAATTATAATAAATGACATCTTTAATATGATAATACTAAAGATGAATACAGTTCTAGTTAAGATTCATAAACATAGTCATAAATATATATAATCTGATAATGGCTAGGAAAAGGAAGCTACACATAAAGCATTATCAATACTACCCGTTCCTATTTGCCACACATATCATGGCATCAAATGGTATTGATATGTGTCTATGGTTGTGTAATGATAGTACTAATATGTTCATGAGAATCTACATAAGTTATTGCACTAGTTGATGAAGTGGATCTAGTATCATTGCCTTTGTCAATCCAAGTTCCATCATCCCTTGTTGACACTTCAGCTGGATAAAAGAGTGGCTTGGGAGGTATTTGTAGGTCATCTACTTCTCCTTCCAGCATTTCCAAGACTTTGCGCATTGAAGGGCGTTCACTAGGATTCAATTGAATGCACCAAAGAGCAACTATTATCATCTGCTTTACTATTCTATTATCCTCCTCGCTAACTTGTTCCAGTGGGATGTCTAATCCTTCATTAAGTTGGTCATGAACCCATAAAGGAAAGTAGATTTGGCTCGAATGCTCTGCGTCTGCATCCAGATTCTTCCTTCCACTAGCCATTTCCATCAACAATTTGCCAAAACTGTAGACATCGGCTTTGTAAGAGACGCCTCCGAGGTCCCTGTAGACTAGCTTCGGAGCCATGTATCCCAAGGTTCCTCTAGCGGCAGTCATAGATACGGTGTTGTAGTCCGTGGGATACAATCTTGCGAGCCCAAAGTCAGAAATTTTTGTGTTGAAATCCCTATCGAGAAGAATGTTGTGAGGCTTAATATCAAAGTGTAGAATTTGAATGTCGCATCCTCGATGAAGATACTCAATCCCTCTAGCCACTCCGAGAGCAATCTTGTACACTTCCTTGCAATCAAGAGTAGTCCCTTGTCCTCGTGAAAAAATGTGCTTATCCAAAGACCCATTGTGCATGAAATCGTAAACAAGAGCTTGTTTCGAGCCATCGAAGCAAAAACCAATGAGTCCAACCACATTAACATGGTAAATTCTTCCGATGGTGGCCACTTCGCTGATGAAGTCCTGCCCATTTGCTTTCCCCTTCTTCAAAATTTTCACCGCCACCTCACGGCCGCTCCGAAGTCTTCCTTTGAACACAGAACCGTACCCTCCCTCGCCGAGTTTGTCCTTAAGACCCATGGTGATTTTCTTGATGTCCGAGTAAGAGTACCTTATCGGCAAGAAGTTATTGTTAGATTGCAAAAATTCTTCAACGTTTTGATCCATCGCTAAGTGTATTCTGGTCCATTTGCGTGTCAGCAACATCATCACGCAAGGGGCTCCCAAGATGAATTTCACAACCATGCACGGAAACACTGTATAACCAATTTGTGGGCGTGTTAAATGTTTGCATTTAGAAAAATTAAGTCAATTTCACAATGAGAAGACTGTAGTAATGTTACCGATGCCCAAGAGCAAGAGCATCGCATTGAGGAAACCGTTGGTCCCCATTCCGCAAGAGAGAATATTGAATATGCCACAGGTGGAAACTGAAGAAATTTAAAAGACACTTATTTAGACCGTAATCAAGCAACGAGTATATCGGTTTAATCCACTAACAGATGAATATATAATTTATTTATTGTTATACGAGTAACCAATTTGTGGGTGTGTCAAATGTTTGCGTTTAGAAACACTAACTTGAGTTCACAATGAGAAGATTGTATTAATTTTACCGATGCCATAGTGCGGGATCATTTCAATGAACTGGGCAATATGGAAGAGGAAACGGAAACGGAAACGGAAACTATTATCTGCAAAAAAAGAAAGAATATGTGACAAGTGAAAGCTCAAGAAAATAAAAGACAGTTATTTAGATCATAATCGAGCGATGAGTATATCAAGTCCAATCCACTAGGATTTATTGGCGCAATTCGAATTACTTAAATTAGCAAATGAATAAAAATGTACTCGTTGTTATACTTACAAAATACCACAAGAGCATTTGAGTAACTATTTGATATTAATGGCCATTTTCAAATCACGTGGTGCACTGAAAGGATATACCTATGACCGAGCTCAATTTCACGTTTACATGAAATTTCACAGGTTTTGACCAAATATAATTTCACAATTTTCTTTATGTTGAGAAAACTAAACAAGTCAAAAGTCCTTACCTGTGTTGGCTCCGCAATAAATCTGGTGCTCAGCGTTGATGTCGCACCAAGCACAACCTTTGAAGTACATCTTACAGGCTTTTTCAAGCCATGAAAGCTCAAACCCATAAACCATCTGTTCATGAATTTGCGCATAGGAACGAAGATGGTTGCCATCAACCCACCATGGTATCATTGCCATATGCTCTATAGTGCATCCGGTTTCCACACTTGAGACATTCGCATCCACCATGGCATATAATCGCCTTCTAGTACTTGAAAAATTCGAAAATGCGGCCCCATTGAAGCACGATGAAGCGTTGATATATAATTGAGAATCGACGGCCTTCGTGCAGTTCACGATTAAAATGGTCAGACCATAGTTATGGCATCTAAATGGATGGAAATTGTCTTGGTCGTTGGAGTAGCTGCATGATGAAGAGTGAAGAGGAAGAGACGAGCAATTGCCCTTTCGCAACCTGACATCAGCAACCCTAATCGTGTAGTTGGTATAGTCGATGTACCGTACATAATACTTGCCCGAGTGCAAATCGATAGTAGTGCGGTTGTTTATGCAGGCTAGCTCATAGTTAGGGTCGCCGCAGATTTTCGGGTCGCCCCTCAGTCGAAACGGGGAGCTTATGTTCACAACCTCACCACAAGAGGTGGTGCACCGATTGTTTTCGACGGCGATACTAAAGGACCAAGGTAGAAGAAGAAGAAGAAGAAGGAATTGATCTTTGTGCATAGCTTCTGCAATAGGAGAGAGCACGAATCAACTAAGTAAAATCCGAGTGTTTTTAGTGTTGAGATGTAGAAGAAAGATAGATAAAAATGAGAGGAATGATTTTGGTTGCTGTGTTTCTTTCTTGAAGTAATGACGAGTCTATTTATCCACAGAGAGGGGGAAATATCTCCGACTACTAACAAACTAATCGTGTGGAGGTGAGCGATTTGGGGTGTCGCGACCAACGACTGCGGGACGTATAAGAGACGGAAATGTTTGGGAATGGTCGTCTGAAAAGCCGAAGGCCGGTCAGCTTTCGGGACAATTATGCAATTGCCCTTTGGCCCCGCAGCCGTGCAGCGAGGAGCACAGATTACTGGATCAGAATTCAACAGCGAGAAAAAATATTTCATTAAATCTTGAGTACCATACGATGGGTAAAGTCTACTTTTGGATTATCTTTAGCATATTTTAACACATGATCAACCTGACTTTTATTTCTAGCGGAAGACTCGCGTGATGCAACTAGTTCGGAAATTTTTTTTGTTTTTCCAACTTCAAGATGTTAAAATATCTTATTTAAAATAATAATTTTGCCCTTATTTATTCTTTCTTACTACAAACCTCGACTTTTCTAATTTTAAAATTGTATTTTTGGTTGTGACGTGATTCCTGCATTTCCTTTCGTACCCATACAATGTCATGTGCATTGCACGTGTTAAGGTCATATATTTTCTTGAAGATGTACATATATATCAAATACGATTAAGTTACTAGTATTTAAAAAGTGGGAGAGAGAAATAAAATTGCATTTGGAATTAGAATGGGAAGACTTTACTCTGCGCGCTTTTCTTTTTGTTATCGGGTTTTTCGCAATATGAAACGTCAGCGCAAATGATAATAAAATTTAAGGACATAAAACTAGTGGATAAATTTAATAAATAAATAGTGTCAGAAAATCAATAAAACTTATGGTGGTATATTTATTTCTAATACAGTTAGTACCAATTCCTCTTTCACTATGAAAAACTTTATAGGAAGAATCTTTCACATGCCGTGATCTATTTCAAAGGTTAACAAAATAAGAAAATAAAATTTGTAAAAAGCTATATGACATGATCTAGTACGGAAATAATTATCTTGGCACTTTCCTCAAAACATTAAGACAATATTCTTTTCATGTTGTCAACCTAACTCGATCCGGAATATAGCAATAGGTGGTATTATATTTTGTCGATATATTCATATAAGTATATACATTGAGAAATAATGAGATTTTTGGCAAAATGATTATTATTGATACCGTAAATGATATATTTACAGCTACATATTTGCAAAGAGATATTTGTGATTTTTCTTTATGTCAGAGATTAATTTTTAAAATGAAAAATCAACCCTAAATTTCAGATATACCATCGCCATAAAAATTTCATATTCTCCAAAATAGTTTTACGATATTATTTTATTTGAAAGCGGTATATTTTACAAACCATATAGTTATACAACAAGGTATATTGTAATGATATGTTTTGCAGACCATATTGATGATATTTTCACATAAGAACATCACCAAATTTTTATTTAGAAGATAATATTTATTTAAAAAAGGAATAGTTTATAATAATTAAATTAGAAATAAAGTTACATCATATATAAGACTAACATGTGGGACATCCAAAGGAGTTATTTCAAATTAAGATCCCATCCCCCATAATTATAACTATAGATACTTCTTATCATTGTTGGATTAACGAGGGAAAAAATAAAAAAAAATTACTAACTGAAATAGGAAAATCGATTCAAATTGTACCATAGAAGCATACACTTACTGCCATAAAATGTTTAACCTTGTGTTTTATTTGAGGCATATGAGAATAGGATTTATTGGGAAAGAATTTTGTGCCCATAATGTGTAGATTATTGAAAAAACGGTCCACCTTTTTGCGGGCATAGACATGAATGCGTTGAGACAATAAACTGATTGGTCGGGCATAAGAGAAAAATCCATAGCCAAATACTAATGTAATGATCAAGACATATCGCAATTATTGTTTGAAGGGAGATATGAATATTGAAACCGAAGTAGAGACGATGGCTTTTACATGGTAAATAAACATTAAAAGCGACAAATTCAAACTTGAAGAGTCGTGATGATTCACAAAGTCAAGATCGAAAATTGAGAAATTCCATGGATTCAAAAAAATTTAAATAATAGATATGTAAAACAACTTTGTGTTATCTTCCACGATAATTCTCACTAATTACGTATTCTGAAAGTATTTTGTTAAAAAGCACCTTGAGGCACTTGTTAACACCAAATAAGAATATGTTGTAGAACCCATTGAACTAATTCTTTTTTTATTGGTGATTTTAATATCTCCTATGCTCGTCTGATAATACTGCTATACTCAAGCTATCAAAGTTGAAGCTCTTCCACACAAGTATTCACAGGATTTGACCCACTCAACTGCCATTTGGCGGATTGAATACACAGACTATGAAGTACGTATCTCAGTTCCTAGGTGGTAATTGTAAAAGAAGCCGATGGCTGATCATCTGAACTGATTTCCAAAATCACAGGACCGCAATGTTCTGAGGCCACCATTCTCGTGGGGGCATTTAAGTTGTCACACCCCCAACTCAATAAGAACAGGAGCACAGCCGTCTATCTACTCAAAGGACATAACCTCAAATATAACTATTATCAACCTGCTATCGAAAAATATACATTTATTTATTTGATAAAAGAGTCGTTTGGCCTTCTAATGTGTAGGATGAAGAAAGATGATGTAGAAGCATCTTGGCCGTCTAATATAATTTGCTAACATGGTATCATCTTAACAAGGCACTGTGTCCCAAGTGTACAGGTAATGGCAATTAAACGAAAAAAACGACCCCATCAGCTAATGCCGTTAAGTTTTTTCAATAGAATTACTGGATTGAGTCGATTTTGAAGAGTTAAGTACTTGATTGAATAAATATATTTTGGTATTTTATGGGAAATGTGTAAATATGCGAGGAGAATGGATGGTCTTTGCGCAATTCATAACTACCACGGTCATGGAAAATGTGCAGCTGTTATATCTATTGTAGCTCCCACAACTATATAAGGACCTTCGCTAAAGTTACGATCCGACAAGGGGCAAAGAGGAAGAGACGAGCAATTACACTTTTGCAGTCCGATGTCACGAGTTAGATTGTGGTTTTTATAGTCAATTCATTGCTAGTACTTGCTCGAGAATAAATCTAAAATCGTGTAATTATTTTCACAGGTTAACTCATATTTTTAGTGGCCGCAGCTCCTCGAATCACCTTTTAGACGAAAGGGGTAGCTTATGCATTTACATTAGATAAATTCCCGCATCGATAGTACCCGCGTAAAAGAATAACAAGAACAAGGATGAGATTCTTTAGCATTGCAATGTTTGTTGCATGCACTTGCAAAGGGTTTCAATTAAGAAGAAATTAAATCAAATGAAGTTATTGCACTAATTGATGAAGTGGATAATAGTATCATTGCCTTTGTTAGTTCAAGTTCCACCATCCCTTGTTGACATTTCTGCCGGATAAAAAAGTGGCTTGGGAGTATTTGTAGATCAACTACTTCTCCTTCTAGCATTTCCAGAACTTTGCACATTGAAGGGCAATCACTTGGATTCAATTGAATGCACCAAAAAGCAACTAGTATCATGTCATTACTATTCTCCTATCCTCCTCTCTAACTTGTTTCCACTGGAACATCCAATACTTCATAAAGTTGATCATGAACCCATAAAGAAAAGTAAATCGGGCTTGAATGCTCTGCCTATGCATCTAGATTCTTCCTTCTACTGGCCATTTCCATCGACAATTTCCTAACATTGTGGACATCAGCTTTGTAAGAGATGCCCCTGAGGTTCCTGTAGACTAACTCCGGAGCCATGTATCTCAAGGTTCCTCTCGCAGCAGTTAGAGACACGGTGTTGTAGTCCGTGGGATACAATCTCGCGAGCCCAAAGTCGGAAATTTTTGGGGTGAAATCCCTATCAAGAAGAATGTTGTGATGTTTAATATCAAAGTGTAGAATTTGCATGTCGCAACCTCGATGAAGATACTCAATCCCTCTAGCCACTCCAAGAGCAATCTCGTACACTTCTTTGCAATCAAGAGAAGTCCCTTGTCCTCGTGTAAAGATGTGCTTATCCAAAGACCCATTGCCCATGAAATCATCGACAAGAGCTTGTTTGGAGCCATCAAAGCAAAAACCAATGAGTCCAACCACATTAACATGACGAATTCTTCCGATTGTAGCTTTCACTGATGAAGTCCTGCCCGTCTGAATTCCCCTTCTTTAGAATCTTCACTGTCACCTCACGGCCACTCCGAAGTCTTCCTTTGAACACGGAACCGTCCCTCACCTAGTTTGTCCTTAAGACCGCCCGTCCGAGTAAGAGTATCTTATAGGTAAGAAGTAATTGTTAGATTGCAAAAATTCTTCAACGTTTTGATCCATTGCTAAGTGTCTTCTCCATATCTGTAGGAGCAACATCATCACCAATGGGGCTCCCAAGATGAATTTCACAACCACGAATGGCACTGTATGTTGGGATAAACGCAAGAAAATTGCGGGTGTGTTAAATGCTTGCATTTAGTAACATTACATCAATTTCACAAAGAGAAGATTGTAGTAATGTTACCGATTCCATTTTCCGAGAGCATTTGAATTACCCAGACGATAAACAAGAGGTAACGGTCGATTTTTCCTGCAAGAGATGTAGAGGTTAAATACGTGACAAATGAAAGCTGAAGAAATATAAAAAGATACTTAATTAGACCATAATCAAGCAATGAGTATATCAGGTCCATCCACTAAGATTTGTTGGCAGAATTCAAATTAAATAAATAGACAAATGAATAATTTATTAATATACGCACAAAATACCAAAACAGCATTTAACTAACTACTTGATCTTAACGGCCATTTTCAAATCACGTGGGCTGTGAAAAGATATATAGATGACCGAGCTCAATTTCATGTTTAGATGAAATTTCACAGGAGTCTCACAATTATCTTTTTGTTGAGGAAATTGAACGAATCAAAAGTCCTTACCTTTCTTGGCCTGGCAATAAATTTGGTGCTTGTCGCTGATGTTGCACGTATAACAATCTTTGAACTTCCATCTTACAGGCTTTTTGACGCCATGAAAGCTCAAACCCATAAACCATCTGTTCATGAATTTGCGCATAGGAACGAAGATAATTGCCATCAACCCACCATGGTATCATTGCCATATGCTCAATGGTGCAAGAAGTTTCCACCCACGAGACCTTCGGATCGACCACGGCATATACTCGCCTTCTTGTCCTAGAGAATTCTGAAAATTCGACCCCATCAAGGCATGAGGAAGCGTTAATGTAATATCGAGAATCGACGGACTTTGTACAGTCCACAATTGCCACAATCTTGGATAACTTTGGACCAGTGTACATGTATTTCCCGCATACATATCAAACCGGATTGTAGTTGAAATTGCCGCATGACAAAGAGCGAAGAGGAAGAGACGAGCAATTACCCTTTCGTAGCCCAACATCGATGAGCCATGTACTGTACATAGTACTAGCCCGAGTACAAATCTAGAACGGTAAGATTATTTATGCAAGCTAGTTTATAGTTTGGGTCACTGCAGCCCTTTGGGTCGCCCTTCAACCGAAATGGTTTGTTTATGTTGGGGACCTTGCCGCAAGAGGTGGTGCACTAACTATTTTTGACATCAATGCTAAAAGATGAATGTAGAAGAAGAAGAAGAAGAAGAAATAGAACAAGGGGTTGATCTATGAGCATCGGTTATAGCATAGAGCACGAGTTAATCAAGCAAATCTAGTGTCTAGTGTTGAGATGCAAAAGAAAGATAGATAAATACGAGAGGAATAATTTTAGTGGCTCTGTTTTTTTCTTAAAATAATGAGGAGAGAAGGAAAAAATCTCCGACTACAAACTAATTGTGTGGAAGTGAGTGCTTTGGGGTGTAGCGACAAAAAAAAAGGGACGTATGAGAGAAGCAATAGTGTGGGAATGGTTGGCTGAAAATCAAGGCCGGTCGACGGACGACACAAGCACAAAGGGCCAATTTTTTCACTGCAACGTGATTTATGCCTTTTCATGCGTTCCCAGAACAGTTCATGTGTGTCGCACTTGTTAAAGATCACAAATTTTCTTGAAGATGTAACAAACAAAATGTGATTAAGTATGATTTGAGGATTCTTTATTGAGCTTTGAGTGCTATTAAATAAATGATATGCATTGATACACCGTTGTTCTTATTCTTAGTGACATACATCCATGATTCTAATTTTCCGTGATCAACAATAACACATCTTCTTGAAGATGTACATAAATCAAATGATCCGTATGTCGAAATTTTCTTTATTCAACAATAACATCGGCAATGACAAGAAAAAGATAATAACATTGGCAATCTTGTAGTTATTAGTTTTTCTTAAATGTCCATAAGCAACTCCTTTAAAATAATCCGACAGTCGGAAATTGAATCTTTTGATCCAATAGTCCCGATTACGTATAGGACCAATTTTTCTGTAAAAACGATTTTTACTGGCAATGAAATGGAAAAAATTCAAAACAATCTGGGAAAAGAGTAATGGGAGAGTCAATCATCAACGTAGAGTTATCACTTTGTCTATACATGCTAACGTCCACAAAAATTCTGTGAGTGTTTCTCCCTTTGTTTTTCTCCCTCTTAGGCTAAAAGAGATTTGTGGCAGTGAGTTAGAAATGAAGGGAGAGAGGTTTGGATTTGTTCTCTAGTCTGTTTTAATAGCCGGTGCTGGACAATGCTATAACTACAGAAGATAGCACCGCACATCAAAGTCGAAGCTCCTCTTAGATAAGTAATCACGAGATTGTTGTTTATCGTCTCTCCTAAATTTTGTCATTTCTCTTCATCCGTCATTTTTTTTTCGTATCGACAATTGGCATGAAGTGCATACATAATGACCACCGTAGTGTCGGGAAGTCATGCGTAGTGTGCTAGTTAGTATTTTAAGCAAAGACTGTGAAACCCAGACGCGCTCCTCGCAAGACTATGCTGAAAGTCCTCACTAGATTTTCTAGAGGATCTGAAAATCCAAATTATAATCAATGACATCTTTAATATGAAAATGCAAAAAATGATACAATCATAATTATGATCCATCAAAATAGTCACAAATACATTCAATGTCTTGATGGCCATGAAAAGGAGATGAGCAATTTCCCTTTCGCAGCCCAACATTAGCAATTCTAATTGTGTAGTTGGTATAGTCGATGTACCATACATAGTACTTGCTGAGTACAAATCGAGAATGGTGTGGTTCTTTATTCAAGCTAGCTCATAGTTAGGGTCGTTGCAGACCTTCGGGTTCCCCCTCGGCCAAAATGGGTAGCTTATATTTGCGAACTCGCCGCAAGAGGTGGTGCACTAATTATATTTGACGGCAATGCTAAAAGATCAATGTAGTAGTAGTAGTAGAAGATGAAGAAGAAAATATATAACAAAGAGTCGATGTTTGAGCATCAGCTATGCAATCGCAGAAAGCATGAATTCAGCAAGCAACTCTGAGTGTTTTAGTGTTGAGATGCAAAAGGAGGAAAGACAAAGATGAGAGGAATAACTTCTGTTGCTCTGTTTGAGGAGGTGAGTGATTTGTGGTGTAGCAGCCAACAATGATGGGACGAGACGGAAAAGTGTGGGAATGGTCGGCTGAACAGTCAAAAGCCGGTGAGCGTACGGCACAGGCACAAGCACAAGGGGCCAATTTATGCACTGCGATCGACCTCGGCTCGGGCCGGCCCACCCCAACGCAGCTAGCTCAGAATGAAGCTGGGCCGGGCTAGGATCGGCCCATTGGATAGGGGTTGGGAGAAAAAACAAGCAAAATGCTAAATGCATGAAGAATTTCTAATGAATCTTGTGTACTGAACGATGTGTACACTCGACATTTGTATAACCTTCAGCAGATTTTAACATACGGTTCACTTGACTTTAACTTCTGGCCGGAGACACGCGTGATACATTTGGCTTGAAAATACCTTTTTTAATTTCATCTTGAAGATGTTACCAAAAATCTTAGTAGAATAATAATTTTTCCCATGTTTATTGTTTTTTTAATTACGAACCCCAAGTTTTCTAATTTTGAATTTTTTTTTTAGATGTAACGTGATTTTTGCCTTTTCATATGTCCCGGTACAGTCCATGTGTGTTGCACATGTAAAGACCACATAGTTTCTTGAAAACGTAATAAATCAAATGTGATTAAAAGTATGATTTGAGGATTTTTTTTATTCAAATTTGAATGTTATTAAAAAAATGAAATGCATTGGTAAATCTTTTTTTTTAATTCTTACTGACATACCTCTGTCGTCGTAACACTTCTCCACAGCTCTTAAGCTTAAAGGCCCTATCAGTGAACAATTATCCTCGTATGTCATAATTTTGTTAAACAACAATAACATTGGCAACGACAAGAAAAGAAATAATAACGTCAGCAATCATGTATAGTCATTAGTTTTTCTTAAATGTTCGTAAGTTACAATCTTCTTAAAATAATCCGACGGTTGAAACTTTTTATCTTTTGATCCAATTGTCCCGATTACGTGTTGGACCGATTCCATAAATTAGATTTCTCCCTGGCAATAAAATGAAAAAATTTTAAAAGAGAAATCTGGGAAAAAAGAGTAACGGATAGTCGATCATCAACATATAGTTATCACTTTGTCGATGCATGGTAACGTCCACAAAAAAATCTGTGAGCTTTCTCCCTTGTTTGTTAACCCTCTTTGGCTTAAAGAAATTTGTGGCACTAAGCTAGAAATGAAAGGAGAGAGGTCTGGATTCGTTTTGTAGTCTGTTTTAGTAGTCTGGTGCGGGACTATGCTATGTTATCCATTTGGCAATTTGTCATATACACGAACTGTGACATAAATTGCAAAAAAGAATAACCACGGAAGACAGCACTGCACATCAAAGTTGAGGCTCCCCTTAGATAAATAATTGGCAGATTGAATACACAGATTATGAAGCCATGTATGTTAGTTCCTAGGTGGCGACTGCAAAAGAAGCCGATGACTGATCATTTGAACTGATTCCCAAACAATGTCAATGAAGAGCGTTCAAGAGCGTTCGCTTATATTGCAGAAACAGACAAGAAATATATGCAAGCACGGGTGTCAAGAATCGAACCGAAACCCGAACCAAAACTGAAATCGAGTCGAACCAAACCGAAAATTTTGAATTTTTCGGCTCGGTTTTATTTCGGTTCGGATTATGGGAAAATAAACTGTTTTTTGGCAGATTCAATTCGGATTGGATTGGTTCGGTTCAGGTAACCAATATGAATTCGGTTTTTTATTATGAGTGTCCGTCTCTCTCTTCGTCCTCATCTCCGACTGAGCTTTTTGACTCTTAACAGAGCCACCTCCATTAATTCCTCTCTCTCCTCGGAGCAAAGCTGCAAAATTGCATTACTACTTCTCTCTGTGATTCCTCTTCTCGATGCTCTGTCTCTTCCCTCCCATCAGTTATTAGCCATTTTCTCTCTTCCATAATGGCTCCGTCTCACCTCTTCCTTTTCCATTGGCTTTTGTTTCCGAGTGTCAAGTTGTGGAAGCGGGGACTTACTTCTCTAATTTAACAAATGGAACAGAGAGAGAGAAGGCAGAAGCAGAGTTGCCTCTAGATGGAGCAAGGAAGGGCTCTTGCAACAAAACCACCAACTTCTTCAGTATTTTAAAGAACAATCTCTCTGCCTCTGTCTCTCTATGCAAAGAAGTGCATGGAACCATGTCAAGTTTTCGAGATTCCGAAGCGGCTTTTGGGGAAAGCCGACGTTTGTTGGGTGTGAACTCAGGAACAGAGCCCCCCATGACCCATCGAGCATCCAGATCTGGAGGCTCGACGCCTCCCTGGCCCATCGAGTCTCCAGATCTGGAGGCGTCTCCACCAAATCGAAGGAGACGACGGCAGGCCGAGGTCCTGTGCGGCAGGCGGCCGCGAGGTGGTGCTATTGTAGCGTTGAGTTTCCGTGTGTTGTGGGTGGCCGAAAGAGAGGGGGCCTCCGTTGTTGGTGGTGGCGTGGCGGAGGTGATGTGTCGGGATCTGTGTGCGGTGGTGGGTGGTCAGGACTTTGGAGAAGATTGCTTGACGCCTCCATGGTTCCGTCAATGGGGGACGAAGGGAAGGGGTCGAAGGAAAAACCCATTTCATCCCGCTCGCCAAAATAATGAAGAGAGAAAACCGTAATCCGAACTGAGCCGAACCGATCCGAACCGGATTTTTCGGTTTGAGTCATATTTGGTTTGGAACTCGGTTCAGATCAAAATATATACATCTTTCAATTCGAATTGAACCGAACCGAACCATTGACAACCCTAACAAGCAATCAATCACCAATCAAATATGTATTAACGAATAAATCCAGAATGTTTCTCTCTGTTTACAGAGACATGTTTGGCAAGAAAAAATAAAGAGAAAACTCACGGTGATGCCAGACATTGTCCATGAGCGCCTTTGCTTTTCGCGTAGCATCTTCAAACCTCTTCCCACACCAGTTCAACGCGTCGCATATCTTGTTCATCGGACAAGCAAACACCTGCAAAGCGTTGGCCTCATCAACTCAATTCTTAAAAGCCTAATCATCAACCAGACGTGGACGTGCGGGTTCTCGCCACCACTTTGGTTGAGGTTGACGATGCGAGGGATCGAGCCGCTCACGGGGCGAGCCTAGCTGGAGAACCATGTGGCAGCGTGCTGGTTCGCGGGATGGGGCCGTGGCTCCACCAGCGTCCCCACCGCGCAAGTGCCGCAGTCTTCAATTCGCCTTCGCCACTCATTGCCTTCTTCTTTCTCTTTGGCTCCGTTTATTTCGTGAGAAATAAATGATTTGGAAAATATTTTCCTTAAACTGATTACTTATATTGATTGAAATTATTAGTTAATTGAAAATATTTTTATTGCCGACAACAATTTATGTTTATACATTTTTGTAAACGATGAAAATATTTTTCGTTCATTCATTTTTATAAATAATACAAACGATCATTTTAAAGAAAATGTATTCCAAATCATTTATTTTCCGCGAAACAAACAGAGTTTTCATCTTAGTCTTGGTCTTGTTCTCTCACGCAAGTGTTGATTTGGACTGCTATTCGAGAAACTATCGCACAAAAAAAGGGCGTGGAGATGGAATCTAAGATGAGAAATCTTGATAAGATCACAGCAGGGAACAATAAATAAGAATCGGAATGAGAATGAGAATGTGATTTATGCCTTTTACACGTTTCGGTGCAGTCCATGTGCGTTGCACTTGTTAAGATCACACATTTTCATGAAGATGTAACAATTCAAATGTGATTAAAAGTATGATTTTGAGGATTCTTTATTCTAATGTGTGGGTAATTGTCTTGCACTCCAGCTCCTTTAAACTAGAGGTGGGACATATGCGAGTTGAGTTGGGTTCAGGTAGATCGTAAATGGGCTCAATTCAATTCACCCCTTTAACCTAATTGATCTATTTATTTGCTAAATAATTTAGATGGTCCATGTCTAATTGAACCCAAACCCAATCCAGAAACACCCACGAAACTCGCCTTTTTTTTTTGAACACTAACATAACCCACCTTAAAAGCAAAGAAAAAAGCCCAATATATCTTAAAAAAATAAATAAACGAAAAATTAAAGAAATCTGCAAAAAGCTATTGATTTTTCTTTCTTAAACCACGGGTCACTACTTAGTTAATCGTTGATTTTTCTTTGCAGCAGAGGGTGTGGAGGACGCAGTCAGCAAGGGCCTGGTCCAAGACGGCGCTGAGCCTGAAATCGGAGACGCATAGGCTCCAATTCTCGTCCAAGAGGAGGTTCTCCGGTTTGAGTTCGCGGTAAAAGACACCGCGGGAGTGGCGGTAGCTGACAGCGGAGACGAGTTGCTGGAAGTGGCGACAGCAGAGGTCCACGCTAATCCGCCCCTCGGCGACCTTGGCAAAGAGCTCGCCGCCTTTTGGGAACACCATGACGATGTAGATCTTCGTCCACGGCACTAGCACCTTGAATTGGTGCACGATGCGCGGGTGGTGTAGCCGGTGCATGATGGCAATCTCCCGCTTGACATGTGCCGCTATCTCCCCTTCACCACCTCCGCTTGCTCACCACCTTGATCACCATGCCCCGCCCCTCGTCAACGAACGCCTTCACAAACGTGCCCCGCCCCAGTAACCGCCTGATCTCGTACAGTCGTACTTACCCATCAGATTCCTCGCCGCCGCACGTGAGGGGATAACGCGCTCACGCAGGAGATCAACGAGGGGCGGCATGTCCTACGCGATCCTTAGCGAGATCTTGCAGGTGGACGGCCAGGGACTGGAGAGAGAGCAGAGAGAGTCATTGGGCTTGCAGGTTGAGGTGGGTTGGGTCAGAGATCTTGTACGTCAAGCAGTTAAATGGGCTGCCTTGAGTCATTGAGCCATTTTTTTAAGTGAGTTGGAAATAGATTCATAACATTACCCATTTAAACTGATATGTTTTGTACTTTTCATTTTAGAACCCATTATAACTAGACCCTTCACATCTGAGATGGCCCATACATGACCCATTTCAACAATTTTGAGTTAATAAATGGATTTGAGACCCATTTTGACAGATCTACTTTAAACTGAAGTGGTTGTTTATCATTCCTCTCCATCTGTCATTTTCAATATCATTCATAAAGACCGTAGGAATGCCGTGAAGCCACATGATGTGTGGGATAACTCAACTCCTCGTAATATATGCTGAAAGTCCTCACTAGGTTTTCTTATGGATTCGAATAACTAATGTCATCTTTAATGTGATAATGCTAAAGAAACATATGTAATAATATCCATAAACAAAGTCATAAATATATACAATCCGAAGATAGCCATGAAAGGTGGGCTTCACATAAAACTTTACTAATACAACGTTTCTATTTGCCACATATGTCACGGGATCAAATGGTACTAATATGTCTATATACTTGTGCAGTACTAGTACTAGCATACTCAAGATGAGAATCTCCACAAGTTATTGCACTAGTTGATGAAGTGAATATAGTATCATTGCCTTCGTCAGTCCAAGTTCCATCATCCCTTGTCGACATTTCTGTTGGATAAAACAGTGGCTTGGGAGGTATTTGTAGGTCATCTGCTTCTCTTTCCAACATTTCCAAGACTTTGCGCATCGAAGGGCGTTCGCTAGGATTCAATTGTATGCACCAAAGAGCAACTATTATCATCTTCTTTACTAATTTTCTATCCTGCTCGCTAACTTGTTCCACCGAGACGTCCAATCCTTCACTAAGTTGGTCATGAGCCCATAAAGGAAACTAAGTCTGATTGGAACACTCTACAACTGCGTCCCAATTCTTCCTCCCACTGGCCATTTCCATCAGCAATTTGCCAAAACTATAGACATCAGCTTTGTAAGAGACGCCCCCAAGATTCTTGTAGACCAACTCTGGAGCCATGTACCCTAAGGTTCCTCTTGCGATAGTCAAAGACATGGTATTGTGGTCCGTGGGATACAATCTTGCAAGCCCAAAGTCGAAAACTTTTGGGGTGAAATCCCCATCGAGAAGAATGTTGTGAGGCTTAATATCAAAGTGTAGAATTTGCATGTACACTTTCTTACAATCAAGAGAAATCCCCTCTTTTCGTGAGAAAATGTGCTTATTCAAAGACCCATTGTGCATGAAATCATAGACAAGAGCTTGTTTGGAGCCTTAGAAGCAAAATCCAATGAGTTCAACCACATTAACATGATGAATTCTTCCAATGGTTGCCACTTCTCTAATGAAGTCTTGCCCGTTTGCTTTCCCGTTTTTTTAGGATCTTCACCGTTACATCGCAACCGCTTCTAAGTCTTCCTTTGAACACGTAACCATACCCTCCCTCGCCTAGTTTGTCCTTTAGATCACTCGTGATTTTCTTGATGTCCGAATAAGAGTACCTTATCGGCAAGAAGTTATTGTTAGATTGCAAAAATTCTTCAATGTTTCGATCCATTGCTAAGTGTCTTCTCCTCCATTTGCATATTAGCAACATCATCACGCATGGGGTTCCCAAGATAAATTTCACAACCATGAATGGCACTGTAATTTTGGGGAAGCAGAAAATTGTGGGCACGTTATAATTCTGATAACCAATTTGTGGGCGTGTTAAATGTTTGCATTTGGAAACATTAAATTAATTTCACAATGAGAAGATTGTAGTAATGTTACCGATGCCATATAACGAGATCGTCCCCATAGCCAAGCCGATAATGAGGAGGTAATCGATAATTTTTCCTGCGAAATAGATTAAATATGTGACAAGTGGAAGGTGAAGAAATTTAAAGACACTTATTTAGACCCTAATTGAGCAATGAGTATATCAGTTTAATCCAGTTAGATTTGTTGGCGGAATTAGAACTAAATATATAGACACATGAATTAAAATGTACTTATCATTATCCTTATGAGATACCACATCAGCATTTACCTAACTACTTGATCTTAATGGGAATTTTCAAATCACACGGGCTCTGAAAAAAATATACAGATGACAGAGCTCCATTTCACGTTTAAATGGAATTTCACAGGTTTTGACCAAATATATCCTCACAATTTTCTTTTGTATTTTAAGGAAACTAAACAAACTCAAAAGTCCCTTTACCTTTCTCGTGTCTGCAGTGAATTTGGCCCTTTTTGTTGATGTCGCAATCATAGTAATGTTGGGGCAAAAGGACACTATAAGTGTCATAACTTGTGTACGGAGATCACTTTGGTGCCATAACTTTTTTTCGGATCACTTTGGTGCCAAGTCGGAGGAAAAACGATCACTTAAGTGTCATAAGTTTTTTTTGGATCACTTCAGTGCTAAAATTTTTGAAAAACGATAACTTAAGTGCTAAAATTTTTTAAAAACAATCATTTAAGTGCTAAATTTTTTGAAAAACGATCACTTAAGTGCCAATCTCCGGCGAGCCACGTCAGCTTCAGAAATTAATAAAAAAAATGCCACGTCGGATTTCCGGCGAAAAATTGTGTACGGCACCGGAGTTGGCACTTAAGTGATCGTTTTTAAAAAATTTTAGCACTTAAGTGATCGTTTTTCAAAAATTTTAGCACTAAAGTGATCCAAAAAAAACTTATGGCACCAAAGTGAGCGCCGTACACAAGTTATGGCACTTGTAGTGTTCTTTTGCCGTAATGTTGGCCATAAATCTTGCAAGCAACTGGAAGCCGGGAAAGCTCAAACCCATAAACCATCAGATCATGAATTTGCGCATAGGAACGAAGATTGTTACCATCAACCCAACCTGGTATCATGGCCATAAGCTCTACAGTGCATGAAATTTCCACATACGAGACATTCGCATCGACCATGGCATATACTCGCCTTCTCGTACTAGAGAAATCCAAAAATTTGATCCCATCAAGGCACGAGGAAGCGTCGATGTTAAATCGAGAATCAACAGCCTTAGTGCAGTCCACGATCGCCATGGTCTTGGATAACTTTGGACTTATGCACGTGTATGGCCCACATTCATAGCAATGCGGTTTGTACCGGAAGTTGGGGCACGACAAAGAGCGGAGAGGAAGAGATGAGCAATTGCCCTTTGGTAGCCCGACATCGGCGATCCTAATGGTGAAGTTGGTATAGTCAATGTGCCGTACATAGTACTGGCTCGAGTACAAATCCAAAACAGTGCGATTATTTACACATGCTAGCTCATATTTGTGGTTACCGCAGCTCTTGGGGTCGCCCCTCAGCCAAAACGAGTAGCTTATGTTCGCGACCTTGCTGCAAGAGGTGGTGCACCGATTATTTTCGATGGCGATGCTAAAAGATCGATGTAGAAAAAGGAGGAGGAGGAGGAGTTGATTCTTGTGCATAGTTTATGCGATAGAAGAGAGCACGAAGGAGTCAAGCAAATCTAGTGTTTAGAGTTGAGAAGTAAAAGAAAGATAGATAAAGATGAGAGGAATGCTTCCCGTGGCTCTGTTTCGTTTTTCAAATAATGATGATGAGAGAAGGAAAAATCTCCGACTACATACTAATTGTGTGGAGGTGAGTGATTTGGGGTGTAGCGACCCCAAAATGGGACGTATGAGAGAAGCAAAAGTGCGGGAACGGTGTCATGCCCCGAACCCCCGTCAAGCCCGCGACATCCCGCCTCTGGTCGAACAGTTGCGACGTCCCAAGTTATCGCCGACCTCAACTAAACATCAGAGATTTAATCGCGCAAACGGAAACCATAAAACACCCGGACAAACTTAAACTGGGAGAATTGGGAGAATATACCTTTCCATTTCTTGTTCAACTTGTTCCACCATATATACAATAAAACAAACCTCTGACTACCAGTGCACACTTTACTGAAACTACCAAAATAAAAAAGGAGTCGATGACCTGACGTTCAACCTCAAAAATGGTTCTCATCCAAGGCAAGCTTTCCCACTTCTACAAACACGGTCGTCGTGTGTCTTATCCAGGTCATCCCGTCACCCATCGGAAACTCAGCTACCTCATACTCCGTATGCACTGGTACTCCAAAACGTACTGGTGGCGGTGGTGGAGGGTTCATCGCTCAGGTCGGGGTTCTGAAAATTGTTGGTTTACACAACCATGAGATTATATCTCAGCAAGTACACCCCTAAACCCAACCTAGGCTATCACGTACCTCCAGACAATTACGCAATCACACACATTCACGTACATCAAGTAATCACAAAGCAGGCACATCAATTAATATGGTCAGGCTCAATCATGCGCACACCCGCACTCAATCACAATTACATCAGATGCAAACACGCGCATGTACCATTCTCATCCCACTGTTCCTTCCATCCTCATTCCTCTTTCATATTCCTCGCCAGTGACCCGCGTTGAAGTACACGCCTCAGGCACACTGCGATCATTCACCACATCCGGCCCGCGTACCCGTTCACGCCTCAGGCCCCAATCGCGACCTGAGCATCACACGCCCCAGGCCCGATCCCAACTCAGCCCGCGCCAGATGCGACAGGCCTACATGATTAGAACCCAAGCTTATGATGCCTCGATCCAATCCCGGTCTCACCCGAGCTGATTGTGCCTCGGGCCGATTCTCATACTTGCTTTTTCAAGCCTCAGCCTGTGCCAAATGCAACAGACCTACGTGATCGCTGCCCGAGTTTACGATACTAGGCTCGATCCCATTCTCGTACTATCACACCTTCGCATACTTTCCCACAATCACTTGTCACACCACAACTTCTCCTTACTCATGCACATACTCGATATGCATTTACCACACGCAACTGGCTCAACACACGCGATCCGTGTACGCGTCGAGTCACACGCAGATAGAGTTCACTCAACAATTCACATGGCCAATATCAATAATTAATTCAATCTGGCCCACGCGTGCACCAAACAGACATATGTCCACTATATAAACACACAAATAAGCACTCAATTAAATCAACCCCATCCAGAATAATTCAAACATGCCTAAAACACGTAAATTGCCAATTTTCTCCAACCAAATGGCGTCGGATTAATTCCGATCCTTCACGACACTTTCTCGCCATTAAATAATGGTTCTAAAAATCCAACTTGCGTCCCGAACAAATCATCACAGCCCCGTGAACAGTAATTCGCAGCTTGTGAACAGTAACTCGCAGCTTGTGAACAGTAAATCACAGCTTGTAATTCACCTCAAATTGTCCTCCAAAAATTCCAAAAATAATCCTCAAGGCCCGCCACAACATTCCAATCATAAACCCCAATATTTCGCACCCGCATATTGTCAATTTCACCCCAAATCAAATTATCCGTCGATACCCAATATCCTAAATCGGGATTAGAGTGTGACTTACTAAGTTCTAGACTTAATCTGCTAGAATGGGAAGCGGCGGCACTCTACGGCGACGGCGTACGGCTCATGACGGCGTCCGGCTTGAGCGGTGGCGGCGTGGGGCTTGCTTGGCCGTGGGTCTTGCCTCCACGGTGAGAAAGAGAGGGAGAGAGAAAGAAACGGTGGCTGGTGGTGGTGGCTTGGGGCTGATACGGTGGCTAGGCAGCGGCTTGAGGGCGGTCCGGCTTGCGGCGACGAGCGGCGGCGCCAGCGGTGGAGGGAGGAAAGGCCAAGGAAGCTCACGGTGGGGAGAAGAAAAAAAAACTAAATGGGGGAGGGGTCTCACGGCAAGGAAGAAGGAGAATGGGGAGAAGAAGAAGTGTTCTTGACCTAAATAGTAAATCTTGACCAAAGGTGGAAATGACCATAATACCCTTTTCTCTTATTTTTAATCCAACGGTCCCGATTCGATCTTATCTTGATCCGACGGCCGAGATCGATTCTAGCACAAAAATATCCAAGGGCATACTTGTAATTTCCCAAAAATCCAAGGGTAAAATTGTCCAATCAAAATTTTATGGCAAAATTACCAAAATGCCCTTTACTCTTAAAGCTTGCCCTTTAATAAATCCTAGGGGTATTTTGGTCACTTCCTCCGTTTCTTGTCCAAATCGAATTTTTCCGAAGGATTTGAGCGCACCAAAAATTTGCACGTGTCACGTGCAACGTCGTCCTAACGTTCCGGCGTGACTTCCTAATTTTCCGGTGTCCAATTTGAGCAAAAATTCAATAATTAAATTTTATTAAACGCAACTCGAGCGTTTCTCGAGCTAACGGGCGGCTTGCTGGAGAAATTCGCGAAATCGACTCATGACTGATACTAAATCGAGTCACGTGCAAGTCCATTCGGTGCGTGACGACCTTGGTCGTCATTAAAATCGCGAAGATCAATCACTTGATCCGAGGGGTACGATCGTTCGGTATAATTTCAGAATCATTCGTCAAGTCGTTTCGTGGTCCAACGGAATCACCCGCGATCCACTACTAGGATAATGGCGAACTGACCCCTAACTATCCTTGGATCGGCCAACAGTGGCTCAAAATATCACTTCCGCGATTTAATGGTCAAAGTCCATTCACGATCGAATTTCCTTTAGTAGCGCGAATTTAATTCCCCTATTAGCCTTTCCCTAATGGTTAGCATTCCCAGGCATGATCAGTTCCGGGCGAGAAATTTACTACAAGCACATTTCATAAAACTCAGTTATTTCATAATTTCCAATTGGCGAAAATTTCGGAATGTCACAAACAGTCTGCTGAAAAGTCATAGCAGGTCGACCTACGAGACAAGCACAAAGGGAGACTTTATGCACCGTGACCAATCTAAAGATCTATCGACCTTGAGCAGGCCCGGGCCACCCCGACGCAGCTTCGCAGCAAGCTCAAAGTGAACCTCGGCCAAGCCGCCGAGTCAATTGGAGTTGGGAAGGGGAGCATAGATTAGAAGATCGGAATTCAACTACGAGACGAAGTGGGAACTCGGAAAAAATATTCATTAAATCTTGTGTACTAAATGATAAGTAAAGTCTACATTCGTACGGTCTTCAGCAGATTTTAACAAATTATCACGCATTGTGAACTTGGCGTGTACTTCTAGCGGAAGACTCGCGTGATGCATTTGGTTTGGAAATATTTTGTTTTATTATCCTGAAGATCTTAGAATATCGTACTAAAATAACAAATTTGCCCATGTTCATTCTTTTTTATTACAAACCCCAACTTTTCTAATTTTAAAATTGTATTATCATATGTGACATGATTTATGCCTTTTCGTAATACCCAATACAATGTCACATGAGTTGCACATGTTAAGATCACATATATATTGAAAATGTACACAAACTAAATTGGATTAAGTATGATTTAAGGATTCTCTACTGAACTTTGAGTGTTATTAAATAAATGATATGCATTGGTGAATCTCTTCTTCTTCTTTTTTTCTATTCTTAGCAACATACACCCATGATCTTAACACTCCTTCACAGTTCGTAAACTTAAACGCCTTATCAATGAATAATTATACTCGTATGTCGTAATTTTCCTTAATTAACGCTAACACTGACAACGACAAGAAAAAATATAATAACATTAGCAATCTTGTAGTCATTAGTTTTGCTTAAATGTTGGTAAGTTACTGTCATTTCAAAATAATCCACTGGTCGAAAATTGTCATCTTCTGATTCAATGGTCCAGATAACGTATAGGACCGATTCCATAAATTAGATTTCTCCCTGCCAATACAATGAAAAAAATTTAAAAAAATCTGGGAAAAGAGTAATGGGATAGTCAAAGTCAATCATCAATCAAAAACGTCTATTGACTGTTCTGAGGCCACCATGCTAGACAAATGACGTCAATGAATAAATCCAAAATGTTTCTATCTGATTATACAGACACGTTTACCGAGAATAAATGTAGAGAAAACTCGCCAGACATTGTCCGTGAGCGCCTCTGCGGATCTTCAAACCTCTTCCCACACTGGTTCAACGCGTTTCGCATATCTTGTTCATTGAACCTGCAAACACCAGCAAAGCGTTTCGGCCTGATCAACACCTTTCTTAAAAGCCAAATCATCAACCAGAACATAACTTCCAACGCGTATGCAACTCAATAGACTCACTCCTGCCAGATGGTGCAGAACCATTCACCGGACAGACGTGGATGTACGGCTTCTCACTGCCACTTTGGTCACAGACGACAAAGCTAGAGACCGAACTGCTCGCGGGGACATTCAAGTTGTCACACCCCCAACTCTACAGGAACATGGGCAAAAACACAGCCATCCTTCCATAAGAAAGACGCAATCTTAAACATAATCATTATTAACTAGCTATTGAAATATATACATTTATATATTTGATAAAATAGCTGTCCAGCATGATTTTTGCTGACTTGGCATAATTTTTGCTGAGTAATGAGCCTCCCTCCCCCCCAACTTGGCCGTCTAATGTGTTGGTTGAAGAAAGATGATGTAGAAGCATCTTGGCCGTCTAACAAAGGGCCAAGAGGAAGAGACGGACATTTACACCTTTTGCAGCCCAATGTCACGAGCCAGATTGTGGTTTTTGAATTCAATTTATTCCACATCATACTTACTCAAAAACAAATTTAAATAGTGCGATTATTTCACAAGCTAACTCGTATTTCCAATGACCACAGCTCTCAGATCGCCTATTAGTCAAAATGGGTAACTTATGTCGGTAATGTTGCCACATGAAGTGAATTTTCTGCGGCAACACTACCCCTCGTAAAAGAATGACGAGAACAAGGACAAGTTTTTTTAGCATTGCAATGTTTGTTGCATGCACTTGCAAAGGGTTTCAATTAAGAAAAATGAAATCAAATGACTTTACAGCAAAGGGGCATTTTCAAGTCACGAATTGAATTGGATCAGAAAGCTAGTATGAACAAATGAGCAAAATTTTTGAAGACGATATGGCATCTTGTTAGTTGCCCTATTTGGAATTAAAGTAATGGGTTGGTCCATCTCCCAGGATAGAAGAAGACAAGCGAAGGACTTGTCAACTGATAAGTCAAAGTCGATCAACGTGCGGAGACGAGCAATAGAGAATTGGAAGGAAAAGTTAAAAAAGATCACGCGTTGCGAACCATCCTAGAAAAGCTCGTGGAAGAAAATTTGGGGAAGGTTCAAATCAGGTGTCATCATAATCGACTTTGATGGGTCACAAAATTCAAAGATGCTCGAGCAACAAGCACGTCCATCTTTTCCGGGTCATTCTGAACAGTCACTTTTGTGCTTAATTCATAACTCAAAGTGTACTAATAAAAATGTTAATAAGTTGCCAATAGAAAAAAACGATGATGGATTATGAACTGTTGAAGAGGTTATTTTCCTCCATATCTCCAAGTCAGAATAGGAGATGAGATTGATTAACTCAGACGGACCCTTAGTAGCCAGTACTGGACTATGCTATTGCCGCAGAAGATAGCACCAGCACCGCACATCAAAGTTGAAGTTCCTCTTAGATAAGTAATCACGAGATTTGACCCACTCAACTGCCAATTGGCGGATTGAATACAACAGATTATGAAGCATGTATCTTAGTTCCTCGGTGGTAATTCCAAAAGAAGCCGATGGCTGATCATTCGAACTGATTTCCAAAACCACAAGACCGCAATGTTGTGAGCGCCTCTGCTTTTCACTTAGCATCTTCGAACCTCTTCCCCCACCAGTCCAACGTGTCACATATCTTGTTGATCGAATTGCAAACACCAGCAACACATTGCGTTGGCCTCATCAACACCATTCTTAAAAGCCTAATCATCAACCATAACGCAACTTCCAACGTGAAAATATGCCTCGATAGACTCCCTCCTGCCAGACGACATGGAGGCATTCACCAGAGCGACGTGGACTTACGGGTTCTCGCTGCTACTTTGGTGAGGTTGAGGAAGCCAGAGGCAAAACCGCTGGGGGTGGCATTTAAGCTGTCACACCCACGACTCTATAAGAACAGGATATTGACACGGCCGTCCTTTCACACGAATGACACAACCATATACATAACCATCATCAACTTGCCAGCGAAATATATATATATTTATATATTTGATAAAAGATATGTCTAGCATAATTTTTGCTGACTTGGCATAATTTTTGCTGAGTAATGAGCCCCCCTTCCCCCAACTTGGCTGTCTAATGTGTAGGATGAAGAAAGATGATGTGGAAGCATCTCGGTCATCTAATATAATTTGCTAACGCGGTATCATCTTAATGTCCTAAGTGTACGACTAATGGCAATTTAACGAAAAATCGACCACATCAACTAACACTGTTTTTTTTTAATAGAAGTAATGGATTGAGTCAATTTTGAAGAGTTCTATACTTGATTGAATAATTATATTTTGATATTTGATTGGAAATGTGTAAATATGTGAGGAGAATCGATGGTCTTTGCACAGTTCATGACTACCACGGTCATGGAAAATGTGAAGCTGTTATATCTATCGTAGCTCCCATAATTATATGGGTTCAAACCTTCGCTGAAGTTACAACCTGACAAAGAGCAAAGAGGAAGAGACGAGCAATTACACTTTTGTAGCCCAATATCACTAGCCAGATTTTGGTTTTTGTAGTCAATTCACTGCACGTAGTACTTACTTGAGAATAAATTCAAAATAGTGTGATTATTTTCACAGGCTAGCTCGTATTTCCAATGGCTGCAGCTCCTTGGATCGCCTTTTAGTCAAAATAGGTAGCTTATGTTGATAACATTGCCACATGAGGTGATTTTCCGCAGCGACACTGCCCGCATAAAAGAATAACAAGAATGAGGGCAAGTTTTTTATAGCATTGCAATGTTGTTGCAAGCACTTGCAAAGGGTTTCAATTAAGAAGAAATTAAATCAACTGAAATTACAGGGAAATGGCCATTTTCAAGTCACGAATTGAATTGGATCGGAAAGCTAGTATAAACAGAGGAGCAGGGTTTTTGAAGATGATACAGCCTCTTGTCAGTTGCCCTATTTAGAAAAAAAAAAAGATATAATGGGTTGGTCCATCTCACAAAGACGAATAAATCTCCAACTACGTGTACGTTGTTGTGATGCGAATGACTTGTGGGTAGCCTAACAGATATGATTAACGGAAGATAGAACAAGACAAGTGTCAGACTCGTCAGCTGATAAGTCAAAGTCAATCAACGTGCGGAGAACGAGCGATAGAGAATCGGAAGAAAAAGTTAAAAAAGATCACGCGTTGCGGACCATCCTGGAAAAGCTCGTAGAAGAAAATTTGGGGAAGGTTCAAATCAGGTGTCATCATAATCGACTATGATGGGTCACAAACTTCAAAGGATGCTCCAGCAACAAGTGCGTCCATCTTTTCCTGGGGCAAAAGGACATTATAAGTGCCATAATTTGTGTACGGCGCTCACTTTGGTGCCATAACTTTTTTTCGGATCACTTTGGTGCCAAGTCGGAGGAAAAACGATCACTTTTAAGTATCATAACTTTTTTTTGGATCACTTCAGTGCTAAAATTTTTGAAAAACGATCACTTAAGTGCTAAATTTTTTGAAAAACGATCATTTAAGTGCTAAAATTTTTGAAAAACGATCACTTAAGTGCCAATCTCCGGCGAGACTCCGGCGAGCCACGTCAGCTTCAGAAATTAATAAAAAAAAATGCCACGTCAGATTTCCGGCGAAAAATTGTGTACGGCACCGAAGTTGGCACTTAAGTGATCGTTTTTCAAAAATTTTAGCACTTAAGTGATCGTTTTTCAAAAATTTTAGCACTAAAGTGATCCAAAAGAAAGTTATGGCACTAAAGTGAGCGCCGTACACAAGTTATGACACTTGTAGTGTTCTTTTGCCCTTTTCCTGGTCATTCTGAACACATTCACTCACTTTTGTGCTCAATTCATAACTCGGAGTGTACTTATGAAAATAGTAGCAAGTTACTTGCGAAAAGAAGGATGATGGGCTATGAACTGTCGAAAACAAGTTACTTTCTCCATATCTTTCCTCCCCAGTCAGAATGAGAGACTCGAATGATTAGCTGTTTATTATGATTCGGGAGGTTTCCTTTAGGCCTTGTTTTGTTGTTTGATTCCGGTAAAATTGAATTACTAGAAGAATGAAAATTCTACTCCTAAGCTTTTCATTCAGAAAAAAGGACTATTGTTGGAGCTGGAATATTTCATATGATGGGATTTCTTTGAAATATAATTCAAGGAGTTACCTAACAACCTTTAATTGAATTCCACCTTCATCATAATTATACTCCATCATCGAGTAGTCTAAGTCCATTACTTCTTGCTATCGCTGACTGTGTGAGGAGGGGAAGGTCAACTCAAGTCCCCAACACCCGAGATCCTAAGGCCTCGACTCGAGACCTCCAGAACGGCCTGGAACCCCCAATGCCCAAAATCGAGATCCTAGTGCCTAAGCTTGGCCCAACGAGGATCGAGGACAGGTCGGAGACTCAAGGGTCGAGCACGCGATAGTCAGGCTGAACTGGGGATTCCAGCTCCCAAGCTCGAGACCTCAAGGATTAGACTCTGGTGCCTAGGCCTTGAACAAAAACACGAGGTCTAGAGGCATGTGATTCTAAATTAAAGTGTGAAACAGTCCAAATAACTAAAACTGAGTCCAAATAACTAAAACTGAATACTGATATGTCATATGTGATTACTCGGAATGAGATTTTGTCAATGGATTCTCTATCACTAAAACCTTCTCATGAGGTCCACTCAGCATCAATCGGAAATTCAAAATAGGACATTTGTGTAGGTCTGAAAGATATCAATTATGGATGCTTCTAGGTCCCGTAGGCAAAATAGCGGGAGCTATCCCACTTTTAGCCATAATTTTCCGGAAATTGTCGTAATTAACCTGAAATTTATCATAAAGTTGGTGGCACTTGTAGGTAGTAACTTAACTTTATGAGTTGTAATTTTACCTATAATAGTCGTAACTTGTTTACAATTGTAATTTTATGGGTCGTAATTTACCCGAAATAGCCATAGACAATGAACCTGGAAAGAAAAACTTACATCATTTTTAAGAGCACATTTACCACTTTACCACTAAATAACCTTAGCAACCTAGTAAAAGAAATAAGAATTTAATTAATCCGATCTATTAATGTTTTTAACGGAGAGGTCATCTTTTGATGTCCCGTATTATTCTCTGATTAAATTTTTAAGTGATTTTCGATAAAACAAAAAGTCAACAAAAGTCTCCCCTATTTATTGCATAGGTAAATGTCTCACACTCTCCCTTCTTTACACCGAAGTTGTTGTTTATCATCTCTCCTAAATTTTATCATTTCTCTTCATCTGTCATTTTTATTCGAATCGACAAATGGTGTGCCATGAAGCGACGTGTACATTTTGACCACTGGAGTGCCAGGAAGTCATGTGTAGTGTGGATTGTGTGCTAGTTAGTATTTAAGCAAAAAATCTAAAACCCAAACTCGCTCTTCACAAGACTATGCTAGAATTCATCGCTAGATTTTCTATCCGATCCCAAAGTCCATATAACTAATGACATCATTAATATGAAAATTTTAAAGATGATACAATCGTAAATATGATCCATTAAAATAGTCACAGATACATACAATCTCATGATGGCCATGAAAGGGGAGCTACACACAAAACATCATTAATACGAGCCGATTCTGTTTGCCACAAATGTGAACGGATTAAATGCTATTGGTATTTATCCATGCTTGTGTAATACTAGCATTAGTATGGTCAAGATGAGAAGCTTCATAAGTTGTTGCAATAGTTGAAGTGGATATAGTATCATTGCCTTTGTCGGTCCAAGTTCCATCATCCCTTGTTGACATTTCCGTTGGAAAAAAGAGTGGCTTGGGAGGTACTTGTAGATCATCTGCTTCTCCTTCGAGCATTTCTAAGACTTTATGCATCGAAGGGCGATCACCAGGATTCAACTGTATGCACCAAAGAGCAACTATCATCATCATTTTTACTATTTTCTTATCCTCCTCGCTAACTTCTTCCACCGGAACTTTCGATGCCTCACTAAGTTGGTCATGAACCCATAGAGGAAAGTAAATTTGACTGGAATACTCTGCATCTGCGTCTACATTCTTCCTCCCACTAGCCATTTCCATCAACAATTTACCGAAACTATAGACATCGGCTTTGTAAGAGATGCCCCCAAGGTTCTTGTAGACTAGCTCCGGAGCCATGTATCCCAGGGTTCCTCTTGCGGCAGTTAGAGACACGGTGTTGTGGTCCGGGGAATACAATCTCGCGAGCCCAAAGTCGGAAACTTTTGGGGTTAGATCCTTGTCAAGAAGAATGTTGTGAGGCTTAATATCAAAGTGTAGAATTTGCACATCACATCCTCGATGAAGATACTCGATTCCTCTAGCCACTCCGAGAGCAATCTTGTACACTTCCTTGCAATCGAGAGAAGTCCCCTCTCCTCGTGAGAAAATGTGCTTATCCAAAGACCCATTGTGCATGAAATCGTAGACGAGAGCTTGTTTGGAGCCTTCAAAGCAAAAACCAATGAGTCCAACCACATTAACATGATAAATTCTTCCGATGGTAGCCACTTCGCTGATGAAGTCTTGCCCGTTCGCTTTCCCCTTCTTCAGGATCTTCACCGCAACAACGCGACCGCTTCTGAGTCTTCCTTTGAACACGGAACCATACCCTCCCTCGCCTAATTTGTCCTTAAGACCGCCCGTGATTTTCTTGATGTCCAAGTAAGAGTATCTTATAGGCAAGAAGTTAATGTCAGATTGCAAAAATTCTTCGACATTTTGATCCATTGCTAAGTGTCTTCTCCTCCATTTGCGTACTAGCAACATCATCACGCATGGGGCTCCCAAGATGAATTTCACAACCATGAATGGCACTGTAATTTTGGGGAAGCAAGAAAATTGTGGGCGCGTTATTATTCTGATAACCAATTTGTGGGCGTGTTGAATATTTGCATTTAGAAACATTAAATTAATTTCACAAAGAGAAGATTGTAGTAATGTTACCGATGCCACAGACCAAGATCAACGCTGTAACCCGGCCGATAGCGATGAGGTAGTCGATGATAATTTGTCCTGCAAAAGAGATTAAATATGTGACAAGTGGAAGGTGAAGATATTTAAAAGATACCTATTTACCATAATCAAGCAATTAGTATATTGGTTCAATCCATTAACATTTGTCGGGAATTCGAACTAAATAAATAAACAAATGAATAAAAATGTATTCATTATTATACTTACAAAATAGCACAACAGCATTTATCTAACTACTTGATCTTAATGGCCCTTTTCAAATCAAATGAGCTCTGAAAAGATATACAAATGACCGAGCTCAATTTCACGTTTAGATGAAATTTCACAGCCAAATATATCCTCACAATTTTCTTTTTGTTGAGACAACTGAACAAATCAAAAGTCCTTACCTTTCTTTACTCTGCAATAAATTTGGTGCTCAGTGTCGATGTCGCACCAATAACAATCTTTGAAATGCATCTTACAGGCTTTTTTTTGAAGCCATGTTTGAAGCCATGAAAGCTCAAACTCATAAACCATCTGTTCATGAATTTGCGCATAGGTACGAAGATTATTGCCATCAACCACCCATGGTATTCTTGCCATAAGCTCTATAGTGCATGCAGTTTCTACATAAGAGACATTCGCATTGACCATGGCGTATACTCGCCTTCTTGTACTAGAGAAATTCGAAAATTCAACCCCATCGAAGATCGATGAAGCGTTGATGTAAAACGGAGAATCGACGGCCTTCATGCAGCTCACGATCACCACGGTTGTGACTCTCCCGCATTCATATGGATTCGGTTGGAGCCAAAAGTTGCGGCATGACAAGGAGCGGAGAGGAAGAGACAAGGAACTACCCTTTTGTAGCCCGGCATCAGCAACCCTAATCGTGTAGTTCGTATAGTCGATGTACCGTACAGAGTAGTTGCCCGAGAACAAATCGAGAACGGTGTGGTTATCTATGCAGGCTAACTCATAGTCAGGGTCGCCACAGCCTTTCGGGTCGCCCTTCAGCCGAAACGGGTAGGTTATGTTCCGGAGCTCTCCACAGGAGGTGGTGCACTGATTATGGACGGCAATGCTAAAAGGACGATGTAGAAGAAGAAGAAGAAAAAGAAGAAGAAGATAAAGAAAAGAGAGTCGATCTTTGAGCATCAGTTATGCAATAGCAGAGAGCACGAATTAAGCAAGCGAGTCGAGTGTTTTAGCGTTGAGATGCAAAAGAAGGAAAGATAAAGATGGGAGGAATAAATTGTACTGCTCTGTTTCTTTCTTGAAGCAATGAAGATAGAAGGAAAAATCTCCGACTTTGGTCTCAATTGTGTGGAGGTGAGTGATTTGGGGTGTAGCGACCATCAATAATGGAACGTACGAGAGACGGAAAAGTGTGGGAATGGTCGGCTGAAAAGTGAAAAGCCGATCAACGTATGGCACAAGAACAAGGGGCCAATTTATGCAGCACTGCGATGCGACGAATCTACATGCAAGAAAGAATTTTTATTGAATCTTGGGTACCGAATGATGTGCACACTCGACATTTGTATAACCTCCAGCAGATTTTAACACCCGATCCACTCGAACTTTTACTTCTGGCCGGAGACTCGCGTGATGCAACTGGCTTGAAAATATATATATATATATATATATATATATATATATATATATATATATATATATTTTCATCTCGGAGATGTTACCAAAAATCTCAGTAGAATAATAATTTTTTTCCATGTTATTGTTTTTTAATTACTAACCCCAACTTTTCTAATTTTGAATTTTTTTAGATGTAACGTGATTTGTGCCTTTTCATACGTCCCAGTACAGTTCATGTGCGTTGCATATGTAAAGATCACATATTGTCTTGAAAATGTAACAAACCAAACGTGACGCCACCCCATTTTCTAATTTAGCGTGCGAGGGAGTTTCTTGGTGATGGAGAGTGCTCCAACTCATGTAGCCCTTCGCAATCGTGGAGTCATCCGCACAAGTCTTCTCTAGAAATGTCAAAGTCAAAGTCTTCTTGAAGTGACAGGTCTTGCGGTGTTAATTGGATGTGGAAAATTCTTGGTGCCATAGAATTTCGACGTAAAAGCCTTCTTTGAAACTTCCTTATGCGCACGACGTGTCCCCACACGTACAAAAGTCCATTTGAGGGCACTAACAACTCTACTTGACCATTGACGAATTCGACTTTAGAAAGTGAGAGGATGACACCACCGTGTTGGTATTTGTAAAAAGGAAATAAATATTAAAATATCTTTATATTCAATGTAAAATGAACAGTTTAAACATCTTTGTTACTAGACAAAATAAATGTAGGATTTCTATTGGCAATATCCTTTGACTTTCCTGGATACTTTAATTGCATATTTGTGTTGGTATTTGTCGCTGCCTCCTGACAAGTATTACTTGGGGTGAGTTCGTTTCGCGGAAAATGAGTAATTTGTAAATATTTTTCAAAACAAGATTGCTTATATTGTTTAGAAAAATTAATCAACGGAAAATGTTTTCATTATCGATAACAATCTATGCCTAACTATTTTCGTGAGTGATGAAAAATCTTTCTATTCATTTATTTTTGTAAGCAATACAAGCGATTATTTTTCGAAATTTTTTTCCAAATTACTCATTTTCTGAGAAACGAACGCACCCATTGATGACATAACTCCATTTTATGAATGTAACAGTGGTTCACATTCGAAAAGGTCCCATCCCATGTCTTTGGGCCGGCCTACTTGCTGTTTCTTTTTTCATTTTGGGAGAAGAGCATTGAAAGTCCAAAAAATTATCACGAAAGTGTAATTGAGTCCTAAAACTTTCAAAAAGTGCAATCAAGTCCTAAAATTTATTACGAAAATACAATCAAGTCCTAAATTTTTTAAAAAGTGCAATTAAAGAAATGACTTGATTGGATATTGTTTGCGAGCGCCTCTACTTTTCGCGTATCATCTTTGAACCTCTTCCCACACTGGTTTAACGCGTCACATATCTTGTTCATCAGACCTGCAAACACTAACAAAGCGTTGGCCTCATCAAAACCATTCTTAAAGCCTAATCATCAATCATAACTTCCAACGCGAAATATGCCTCGATAGTCCTCACTCATGCTAGATGACGCGAAAGCATTTAGCGGAGCGACATGGACGCATGGGTTGTTGCTGCCGCTTTGGTTGAGGTTGGCGAAGCTAGAGAACGAGCCGCGTGTAGGGGCATTCGAGCAGCTGGAGTGAAAGCTCGGGGGGTGAGCCTCGCCAGCGAGTCATGTGGCTGCGTGCTGGTTCACGGGATGTGCCCGCGACTCCACCAGCGTCCCCACCACGCACGTGCTACACCGCGTTGCCTTCGATTCACCTCCGCCACTCATTGCCTTCTTCTTCGTCTGCGTCCCTTCTCTCACACAAGTGTCGATTGGGATTGCGATTTGAGAAACAATCGCACAAGAAAAAGAGAGTGGAGATGGAATCTAAAAAAGAGGAGGGATCTCGATAAGAAAGCGTGAGAGAACGATAAACGAGAATCAGAATAAAAATGAGAATGTGATGAACTTTTCTTTTTTTCTTTTTCTTTTTTTTTTTGCTTAATTTTTAAATTAACGGCTCAATATGTTTGAGTCTAGAAGCGACCTCCCTCGCTAAAGCAAAGGGCCCAATTCCCTAAAAAACCCTCAACTTTAGCCTTTGTCCCAATTATATCCCAAACTTTTTGTTGTCTCATAAAAAACCCCAAACTTTCACTTTTGTCCCAAATCTACCCAATTAACTTTTCGTCCAATTTTTTAATATTATTTTTATTTTTTCGAATTTTTTTATTTTTTATTTTGTTTTTTTTTCCTTTCCTTTTCTTTTTTTTTTGTTTCACCTTCAACATCTGGCCGGTCGCCGGTCCGGCGATCGGCCAGGAGGGGGCCGCGAGGTAGGCCCCGCACGGCCGCCGGGCGAGGCTCGGCCCCGCCGGCAACCGGCGAGGCCGAACCTCATCGTTGCCGGGCGAGGTCGACCTCGCCAGTTGCCGGCGGGGCCGAGCCTCGCCAGATCTGGCGAGGGCTCGGCCACACCGGCCGCCGGGCGAGGCTCGGCCTCGCCGGCGTTGGGCGAGGCCGACCTCGCCAATAGCCGGCGGGGCCGAGCCTCGCCGTGGCTAGTGAGTTTCTTCCAACGGTTCGCCTGAATTCGGTGAGGTGCGATCGAGATTCTCCATGGCTAGCTCCGGCGATGGAGAGAACCGCGAGAACCGTCGGACCGCGACGAGCCCGGCGATCCTTCGTCGATAGACGCGTCCTCGGTGGAGTGCGGGCCGAGCTCGAGGGTCTCAAGGGGGACAGCCGAGGAGATTGGGATGGCGGAGAGGCTCGACGAGACGTCTTCGTCGGGGGAGGCGACGGAGATTTGTTGATGCAGCGGAGCGATCGGGAGGATAGGGTTCTGCAGGCGCTCGATATGCATGTGGTTGGGGCCTGCCGCTCGATATGCTAGTTGCCGGTGGGGCCGACCTCGCCAATAACCGGCGGGACCGAGCCTCGCCAGCGGCCGGCGTGGCCGAGCCCTCGCCAGATCTGGCGAGGCTCGGCCCCGTTGGCAACTGGCGAGGTCGGCCTCGCCCAGCAATGGCGAGGTTCAGCCTCGCCAGTTGCCGGCAGGGCCGAGCCTCGCCGTGGCTGGCGAGGCTCGGCCCCGCCGGCTATTGGCGAGGTTGGCCTCGCCCAACGCCGGCGAGGCCGAGCCTCACCAGCGGCCGGCGGGGCCGACCTCGCTGGCCCCCGCCTCTGGCCGGTCGCCGGACCGGCGACCGGCCAGAGGTTGAAGGTGAAACAAAAAAAAAAAGAAAAGGAAAGGAAAAAAAAAAGAAAAGAAAAAATAAAAAAATTCGAAAAAATAAAAAATAATATTAAAAAATTGGACGAAAAAGTTAATGGGGTAGATTTGGGACAAAAGTGAAAGTTTGGGGTTTTTTATGAGACAAAAAAAAGTTTGGGATATAATTGGGACAAAGGCTAAAGTTGAGGGTTTTTTAGGGAATTGGGCCTAAAGCAAAGAGACTACTAGAAGGAAGCAATAGCGAGGTGATTCTTTGCATCCGAGGACTCGACCTTTCTATTATTTACAAAATGAATTTAAGTGCTCAAATCTAATTTTAATAAGTATAACATCAGGCTCGGATAAAATTTCCTCCTGACGTGATAGCTTAGGCAAGGAATCTGAAAAGAAAAAACTTTCACCATTCTCAAGTGCACATTTACTACTAACTGACCTTAGCAACCTAGTAAAAAGAAATTTAAATTTAAATTTAATTAACCTCATCTATTACTGTTATTAAGGGAGAGATTATCTTTTGATGTCTCCCACTATTCTTTAATATAATTTTTAACTAATTTTTTATGGAATAAAAAAGTCAATAAATGTCGCCACTGTCTATTGGGTGGGTAACAGTCTCGCACTCCCCCTCCTTTAAACCAAAGTTGTCGTTTACCATCTCTCCCAAAAATTTTCACATCTCTCCATATATCAGTTTTCGACATTATTCGTAGCGACAATTGGTGTGCCATGAAGTGACGCGTACATAGCGACCACTGAAGTGACATGAAGCCACAAGTAGCACAGGATGTGTGCTAGTTGGGTTTTGAAGGAAAAACTCCAAGACCAAATCTCACCCCTTGTAACGCTACGCTGGAACTAGTTTTATGTTGGATTTGAAAGTCCAAATTATAATAAATGACATCTTTAATATGATAATACTAAAGATAAATACAGTTCTAGTTAAGATTCATAAACACAATCATAAGCATATATAATCTGATAATAGCCAGAAAAGGGGAGCCACACGTAAAGCAGTATCAATACTACCCATTTCTATTTGCCACGTGTCACGGGATTAAATGGTATTGATACGTGTCTATGCTTGTGTAATGCTAGTACTAATATGCTCCTGAGAATCTACATAAGTTATTGCACTAGTTGATGAAGTGGATATAGTATCATAGCCATTGTCAATCCAAGTTCCATCATCCGTTGTTGACACTTCAGCTGGATAAAAGAGTGGCTTGGGAGGTATTTGTAGGTCATCCACTTCTCGTTCCAGCATTTCCAAGACTTTGTGCATCGAAGGGCGTTCGCTAGGATTCAATTGTATGCACCAAAGAGCAACGATTATCATCTTCTTTATTATTCTCCTATCCTCCTCGCTTGCTTCTTTCACAGGGACGTCCAATCCTTCACTAACTTGGTCATGAACCCATAAAGGAAAGTACTTCTGACTCGAACATTCTACAACCTCATCCCAATTCTTCCTCCCACTGGCCATTTCTATCAACAATTTGCCGAAACTATAGACATCGGCTTTGTAAGAGATGCCCCCAAGGTTCTTGTAGACTAGCTCCGGAGCCATGTATCCCAAGGTTCCTCTCGCAGCAGTTATAGACACGGAATTCTGGTTTGTGGGATACAATCTTGCGAGCCCAAAGTCAGAAACTTTTGGAGTGAAATCCATGTCGAGAAGAATGTTGTGAGGCTTAATATCAAAGTGTAGAATTTGCACGTCGCATCCTCGATGTAGATACTCTATCCCTCTAGCTACTCCGAGAGCAATCTCGTACACTTCCTTGCAATCAAGAGAAGTCCCTTGTCCTCGTGAAAAAATGTGCTTATCCAAAGAACCATTTTGCATGAAATTGTAGACAAGAGCTTGTTTTGAGCCCTCGAAGCAAAAACCTATGAGTCCAACCACATTAACATGGTGAATTCTTCCGATGGTAGCCACTTCGCTAATGAAGTCCTGCCCGTTCGCTTTCCCCTTCTTCAAAATTTTCACCGCCACCTCGCGGCCACTCCGAAGTCTTCCTTTGAACACGGAACCATACCCTCCCTCGCCTAGTTTGTCCTTAAGACCCCTGGTGATTTTCTTGATGTCCGAGTAAGAGTACCTTATCGGCAAGAAGTTATTATTAGATTGCAAAAATTCTTCAACGTTCTGATCCATTGCTAAGTGTCTTCTTCTCCATTTGCGTATTAGCAATATCATAACGCAAGGGGCTCCCAAGATGAATTTCACAACCATGCACGGAAACACTGTATTTTCGATAACCAATTTGTGGGTGTGTTAAATGTTTGCATTTAGAAAAATTAAGTCAATTTCACAATGAGAAGACTGTAGTAATGTTACCGATGCCCAAGAGGAAGAGCATCGCATGGAGGAGGTAAACGTTGATCCGTATTCGGCAAGAGAGATTTAATTTGTCACAAATGAGACCTGAAGAAAATTTAAAAGACACTTATTTAGACCATTATCAAGCAATGAGTACATCGGTTCAATCCACTAACAAATGAATAAATAATTTATTTATTGTTATACGAGTAACCAATTTGTGGGTGTGTCAAATGTTTGCATTTAGAAACACTAAAATGATTTCACAATGAGAAGATTGGATTAAATTTACCGATGCCATAGCTCGGGATCATTTCAATGGACTGGACAATATAGGAGAGGTAAGTGACGATGTCATCTGCGAAAGAGATAGAATAATGAGTATATCAAGTTCAATGCGCAATTCGAATTACTTAAATTAGCAAATGAATAAAAATGTACTCATTGTTATACTTACAAAATACCACAAGAGCATTTGAGTAACTATTTGATATTAATGGCCATTTTCAAATCACATGGGGCACTGAAAGGATATACCTATGACCGAGCTCAATTTCACGTTTACATGAAATTTCGCAGGTTTTGACCAAATATAATTTCACAATTTTCTTTTTGTTGAGAAAACTGAACAAATCAAAAGTCCTTACCACTCTTGACTACGCAATAAATATGCTGCTTAGCATTGATGTCGCACAGATGACAATCTTTGAACTGCATCTTACAGGCTTTTTCAAGCCAAGAAAGCTCAAACCCATAAACCATATGTTTATGAATTTGCGCATAGGTACGAAGATGATTGCCACCAACCAATCTTGGTATTATCGCCGTAAGCTGTATAGTGCATGTAGTTTCCACACTTGAGACATTCACATCGACCATGGCATATAATCGCCTTCTAGTACTTGAAAAATTCGAAAATGCGACCCCATCGAAGCACGATGAAGCGTTAATGTATAATTGAGAATCGACGGCCTTCGTGCAGTTCATGATCGAAATGGTCGAACCATAGATCTGGCAGCTAAATGGATGGAAATTGTCTTGGTCATTAGAGTAGAAGCATGACGAAGAGTGAAGAGGAAGAGATGAGCAATTGCCCTTTCGCAACCCGACATCAGCAACCCTAATCGTGTAGTTGGTATAGTCGATGTATCGTACATAGTACTTGCCCGAGTTCAAATCAATAGTGGTGCAGTTGTTTACGCAAGCTAGCTCATACATAGGGTCGCCACAAATCTTCGGATCGCCCCTCAGCCGAAACGGGGAGCTTATGTTCACGACCTCGCCGCAAGAGGTGGTGCACTGACTGTTTTCGACGGCGATACTAAAAGACCAAGGTTGAAGTAGAAGAAGAAGAAGAAGAACAAGGAGTTGATCTTTGTGCATAGCTTCTGCAAGAGGAAGCAAACTCTGAGTGTTTTAGTGTTGAGATGTAGAAGAAAGATAGATAGAAACAAGAGGAATGATTTTGGTTGCTGTGTTTCTTTCTTGAAATAACGATGAGAGTATTTATCCACAGAGAGGGGGAAATATCTCCGACTACTAACAAACTAATCGTGTGGAGGTGAGCGATTTGGGGTGTAGTGACCAACGATAGTGGGACGACACGGAAAAGTCTGGGAATGGTCGGCTGAAAAGCCAAAAGCCAGTCAACTTTCGGGACAATTATGCAGTTGGCCTTTGGCCCGGCGGACGTCCAGCGAGGACCATTGATTGCAAGATCATCAGAACTCAACAGCGAGAAAAAATATTTCATTTAATCTTGAGTACCATATGATGCGTAAAGTCTACATTTGGATAATCTTTAGCATATTTTAACAAATGATCAACCTGACTTTTATTTCCAGCGGAAGACTCGCGTGATGCAAGTAGTTCGGAAAATATTTTGTTTTTCCAACTTCAAGATGTTAAAATATCTTATTTAAAATAATAATTTTGCCCGTGTTTATTCTTTCTTACTACAAACCTTGACTTTTCTAATTTTAAAATTGTATTTTTGGTTGTGACGTGATTCCTACATTTCCTTACGTACCCATACAATGTCATGTGCGTTGCATGTGTTAAGATCGTATATTTTCTTGGAGATGTACATATATCAAATGCGATTAAGTTACTAGTATTTAAAAAGTGGGAAAGAGAAATAGAATTGCATTTGGAATTAGAATTGGAAGACTTTACTTTGCTTTTCTTTTTGTTATCGGGTTTTTCGCAATATGAAATGTCGGCGCAAATGATAATAAAATTTAAGGACATAAAACTAGTGAATCAATCTAACAAATAAATAGTATCAGCAAATCAATAAAATTTATGGTGGTATATTTATTACTAATACAGTTAGTACCAATTCCTCTTTCACTATGAAAAACTTTATAGGAAGAATCTTTCACATGCCGTGATCTATTTCAAAGGTTAAAAAAAAAAGAAAACAAAAATTTGAAAAAGATACATGAAGTGATCTAGTACGGAAATAATTATCTTGGCACTTTTCTTAAAACATTAAGAAAATATTCTTTCATATTGTCAAACTAACTCATTTCGGATTATAGCAATAGGTCGTATTATATTTGTTGATATATTCATATAAGTATATACATTGAGAAAAAAATGAGATTTTTGGAAAAATGATTATTATTGATACCGTATATGATATATTTACAGCTACATATTTGCAAAGAGATATTTGTGATTTTTCTTTATGTCAGAGATTAATTTTTAAAATAAAAAATCAACTCTAAATTTCAGATGTACCATCGCCATAAAAAATTTCATATTCTCCAAAATAGTTTTACGATATTATTTTATTTGAAAGCGATATATTTAACAAACCATATAGTTATACAGTAAGGTATATTGTGATGATATGTTTTGCAGACCATATTGATGATATTTTCACATAAGAACATTACCAATTTTTATGTACAAGATAATATTTATTTAAAAAAAGGAATAGTTTATAATAATTAAATTAGATATAAAGTTTCATCATAAATACTACTAACATGTGTGACATCCAAAGGAGGTATTTCAAATTAAGATCCCATCCCCCATAATTATAACTATAGATACTTCTTATCATTGTGGGATTAACAAGGGAAAAAATAAAAAATAAAATTACTAAATGAAATAGGACAATAGATTCAAATTGTACCATAGAAGCATATACTTACTGCCATAAAATGTTTAACCTTGTGTTTTATTTGAGGCGTATGAGAGTAGGATTTATTGGGAAAGAATTTTATGCTCATAATGTGTAGATTATTGAAGAAATGGTCCACCTATTTGCGGGCATAGACATGAATGCGTTGAGACAATAAACTGATTGGTCGGGCATAAGAGAAAAACTAGCGAAATACTAATGTAATGATCAAGACATATCGCAATTGTTGTTTGAAGTGAGCTATGAATATTGAAACCGAAGTATAGACGATGAATTCACATGGTAAATAAACATTAAAGCGACAAATGCAAACTTGAAGAGTCGTGATGATTCACAAAGTCAAGATCGAAAATTGAGAAATTCCATGGATTAAAAAAAATAAAATTTACAGTCAGGATTCTGAAGGATTGAATGGTTGTCTAATTTGAAGGGGGGAGAGGGAGAGAGAGAATGATACTCGACATTGACTTTTAATAATCGAGAAAGGCAATTTGGAAACATGACAAGTGGAAAAGGTCCTTGTGCTTTTAATAGTAATGTATTGTGTTGTGTTTATATCTATCACTTTATTCAAATAATAAATATGTAAAACAACTTTGTGTTATCTTCCACGATAATTCTGACTAATTACGTATTCCGAAAGGATTTTGTTAAAAAGCACCTTGAGGCACTTGTTAACACCAAATAAGAATATGGCGTAGAACCCATTGAGCTATTTTTTTTTTTTTGTGATTTGAATATCTCCCATGCTCGTCTGATTAGACTGATATACTCAAGCTATTAAAGTTGAAGCTCCACCACACAAGTATTCACGGGATTTGACCCACTCAACTGCTATTTGGCGGATTAAATCCAAAATGTTTCTATCTGATTATACATACATGTTTGGTGAGAAGAAATGTAGAGAAAACTCACGGTGATGCCACACATTGTCCGCAAGCGCCCCTGCTTTTCGCGTAGGATCTTCAAACCTCTTCCCATACTGGTCCAACACGTTCGTATATCTTGTTCATCGTACCTGCAAACACCAGCAGAGCATTTCGGCCTCATCAGCACCATTCTTAAAAGCCTAATTATCAACCAGAACGCAACTTCCAATGCGAAATACACCTCAATACTCACTCCTGCCAGACGGCGCTAAACCATTCACCGGAGCAACATGGATGTACAGGTTCTCAATGCCACTTTGGCTGAGGTTGACGGAGCTAGAGATCGAGCTGCTCGCGGGGGCATTCTAGTTGTCATACCCCCAACTCGACAAGAACAGAGGCACGGCCATCCTTTCACCCAAATGATGTAATCTCAAACATAACCATTATCAATCTGCTATCAAAATATATACATTTATACATTTGATAAAAGAGTCGTTTGACCTTCTAATGTGTAGGATGAAGAAAGAAGAAAGATGATGTGGAAGCATCTTGGCCGTCTAATATAATTTGCTAACGCAGTATCATCTTAACAAGGCACAGTGTCCTAAGTGCACAGGTAAGTTTTTTCAACAAAATGACTGGATTGAGTCGATTTTGAATAGTTAAGTACTTGATTGAATAAATATATTTCGGTATATGATGGGAAATGTGTAAATATCCGAGGAGAATCGATGGTCTTTGCGCAGTTCATAACTACCAAGGTCATGGAAAATGTGCAGCAGTTATATCTATCGTTGCTCCCACGATTATCTAAGGACCGTCGCTGAAGTTACGATCCGACAAAGGGCAGAGAGGACGAGATGGGCAGTTGCACTTTTGCAGTCCAATGTCACCAGTCATATTGCGGTTTTTGTAGTCAATTTACTGCTAGTACTTGCTTGAGAATAAATCTAAAACCGTGTAATTATTTTCTCAGGCTAGCTCATATTTTCGGTGACCGTAGCTTCTCGAATCACCTTTTAGTCGAAAAGGGTAGCTTATTCACTTGCATAAATTAAATTCGCATCGATAGTACCCGCATAAAAGAATAACAAGAACAAGGACAAGATTCTTTTAGCATTGCAATGTTTGTTGCATGCACTTGCAAAGGGTTTCAATTAAGAGGAAATTAAATCAAATGAAGTTACAGGAAATGGGCATTGTCAAGTCACGAATTATATTGGATCGGAAAGCTAATATAAACAAATGGGCAAAATTTTTGAAGACGACATAGCATCTTGTTAGTTGCCCTATTTAGAAAAAGAAAATATAATGGGTTGGTCCACTCACAAGATAGAAGAAGACTAGTGCGGGACTCGTCAACTTGACAAGTCAAAGTCGATCAACGAGCGTAGACGAGCAACAGAGAATCGGAAGAAAAAGTAAAAAAGATCGTGCGTTGCGAACCATCCTGGAAAAGCTCGTGGTAGAAAATTTGGGAAGGTGCAAAACAGGTGTCATCATCGATGATGATATGACGGGTGACCATAAAATTCAAAGATGCTCGAGCAACAAGCACGTCCATCTTTGTAGACCTGTCAAATAGATGAATCAGATCAAGTCGGATAAAAAATGATCTGATCCAAATAGATTCATTTAATCCGTTTTGACCATACATAACCCGACTCATATTGCTAAAATACTTTCGTATTTAACCAAAGCTAAGAAAACGTATTTGACGCTTATATTATGTTGGGTTTTACCATTCTAAACCCATTTATGATCAATTTACTAAATATAACTAATCCATATAATAATTCAACTCATCGTATATGAGTTAAGAAATGGGTCTATGAACTAGTATTTTTCTCCATACCTCCCAAGTCAGAATAAGAGATGAGATTGATTAACTCTTTATTATGATTTGGGAGATTCCCTTGAGGCCTTGTTTAGTTGTTTGATGCCTGTGTGATTGAAATACTAAATGAATGAAAATTCAAATCCTATAATTTTTCATTTAGAAGAAAGGACTATTCGTTGGGCTGAAATATTTCACGTAATATAATTTCTTTAAAACATATGGCATTAATTACCTAGCAACATTTAATTTACACTCCGCCACCACCAAAGTCATGGAGTAGTCGAGTCCATCACCTCTGGCTATCAATTAGTGCGCGAGGAAGGGGAGGTCAACTCGAGTCCCCAACACCTAGACCCATGTCCAGGGCCTTGGCTCAAGACCTTGAGGATGGCCTGGAACCCCCAATGCCCCCAAGGTTCTTGTAGATCGAAGTGTTGGAGAGAGGGGTTGCACCACCAGCCACCATTGTCATTGGAGAGGGCAAAAGTTGGTTGCCGTGACCTTGATGATCCTCGAGTCTAGAAGCGA